GTGATAGTTTGTTGAGTCTACTGCTTGGTCGTAAAGCCATGCTTTACGTTTCTTTTCTCTTTGTACAGATGGGCCGGGGCACCCTTCCAAGGATGACCGGCTGTGTTGGAGTCTGTCCAGACACGGACGATTGGGTGGAGTCGTCGACTCACTCGATCATACACGTTACCGTTGTTATGAACGGTAATTGTATAGTCTCGACTCGCTCAGAAGTACATGTACTCTGAGGTGCTGACATCTGGCACATGAGAAGGACATTGTCGGGCCGTAGACGTAAGCGGCAGTGTTGAAACGCTCACGCGTGGAAACATGTGACTGAGGACGCGGGCCTAACACCTCCGAATAAACGTCGCTCATCCAGTACTTGTCTTTGGACATGTGGACAGGGAAAGTCATGTGGACACTTTTCGTGTTCTGGACCAAAGAACCTTCTAAAGGAAGGTTTTCTCTTTGCTCTACGGGTGGAACCGTAGAGAGATTCCATGCTGCACACCAGCGGCTACACCAGCGGTAGTAAGAGAAACTACCCTGACGTCGACACAAAGAGATCAGACTCATGTCCCTCTTTTTACTCACTCAGCACTTAAGTCGAAAGAAGTGCTGATCCTTTCACCTCTATAAGGATGTTGTCACCCAATGCGCAGTTCTGGTATGATACTTACGGCATCTTTCCGGGGAAACCCTCAGATTATAGAGAACCCAGGCACTCTGCCAAAAGAAGTAATCACAAGAAACCTTGTCCACCACCTCAGGTGAGTCCTAAAGCTGTTCCCAAAGGGAATAGGCAGAGGGCTGCCAAGACGATGGTTTTGATTAACTTGGGGTTCTTCTAGTATGCCCAAGTACACCAGCAAGAACTTCGTCGTCGCAAAGAACGAGTCTTCGGGCGTTCCTCTTTTGGAACGTATTCAACTTTCTCCCAAAAATGAACGTAAATTCAAAAACATCGGAAAACCTGCAAAACGGTACCAACCGTACGCCAACAAGCCCATCGCCCACAAGCCGCTCGCACTCGAACGTCGCCTCGAGTTACTCGACGAGGCGAAGGAAGAAGCCCAACGACGTCAGCAAGCTGCTGACGATCTACTCAAACAACGACGCACGGAAGCCAAGAAAATTGGTACGCATCGAGCCTATGATGACCTAGTATGCTCATGCCCGGATCTCTTCGCGTCCGAGGGGGAAAATTTCCTCCTATGGATTAAAGAGATTGAAGAGACTTCAGCGAGCCTAACATAGCTCAAATTCATGAAGAAGGGGATCCTTCGCCGTTGCGAGGAACTCCTCCCCACTCTCGTCGCCGTAAATAAGCGGTTCTTCGCAACGCACGACCATTTGGTTGATGCGGAGGAGCTCACTAAGGCTGGGAAAGGGTCACTTGCTGTCGAGCAGGTGCATGAATTGCTGAAGCTCTTAGACGGGCTTAGCTACATCAAGGAGGTCGTCGAAGACAAAGAGCTCGACATCGTCGAATGGGGCAATACGGAGTGGAGGCGGATCAGCGGGCTTTGCAGGCGGTTGAAAAAGGTACACACAGAAGGCACAGACTTTTATGACATTTGTAAAGCACTGTTAGACGGGAACTACACCATACCGGTGCGATTCAAAGCTTACAGTAAAGAGGCAGATGATTTTGTCTGGTACAATGGTGTATAAATAGTTTTTTCCTTTGTTAAAATATTACGACGAATGTTCTTTGCACACAAACAACATCGAGAGTTTATCTTGAGTTTTGAAAACTTAAACTGGTATCTAATAAATAAACCAGAATGTCTCTCCACAACACCCTGACTCCAATCCAGTCTCGCGCACCTTCTCGCGCACCGTCTCGGACTGCCCATGTACCTGAAGTACGACACTGGATTCCGTCCTTGCCATCGGCAATGACCCCAGGAAACGAAATCGAATTCCAAAGGGCTTTAGTTCAAAATGACGTAAACCTGGCCACCACTACGTTAGGCACAGGCGACGGCTTCAGAGTTCTAAGGAACTTAGCCGACTACATGTTCACACAAGCGCAAAACACTATGCGCTCCACCCTAAACTCGGTAGTACAATATGTAAACTACGAAGGAATGCAGTTAGATCAAACTTTGTCTAACATGCACAACGAGTTTACCAGCTTTAAAGATGAAAACATTATGGCAGTAGATACCGTTAATCGAATAAATACGGTTATCGATACCTTAGCAAAACAAAACATGGACTATCTTGTGTGTATACAAGCACTAGAAAGACAGTTGAAGGATTTGCCACAAAGTACCGGAAATAATACGAGAAATGTCAAAATGCCCGAACCACCACTTTTCCAAGGAACGGAGAGTAAAATCACGTCGGATCAGTGGTTGGATCAAATTGCGCTGTACACTGCAGCCAATGGTGTCGTCACGGATCATCAAAGGATATTGATGGCCTTAGCAAGAGTCTGAGCTCCGGCATCGGACTACTTGGCCGACTATTTCCAAAATATGCGTGAAGACAAAGGGCTAGGCACTTGGGCAAATTTTGTCACAAATATCTCGAATATTTACGGACAAAAGGATCGAAAGGCTGGCACAAGGGATGAAATAGACGCAATGTGGAAGAACACTTCACTCATCAAGAGTGACTTCCTCAAGTTTGCGGAACAATATAAGACACTAGCTAGACTAGTGGATTATCAAGATAGCCTACACATTGAGAAGATCGAAGCGATACTTCCCAAAGAATTAGTGCAGGCTACCATTGAAAGACGTCTCAATAACAACTTGCCAACAACTTGGGACGAATATATCCAACATATGGCTAATATCTGGCGTGCTTTGCATGCAGATAAAATTAAAGAGTCAGTGTTTGGAGGCAAGAAAACCTCGGATCCTAATGCCATGGAGGTGGATACCACCGAACGTGCTAAAGGAAAAGCCAAACAACAGGCAAATTTGCAGCAGACAGTTAAAAAATACTGTTAACATTGTGCCAAAGATAATAAAACTAAGGCAAAAACACACAATACTGCGGATTGTTGGCTTAAAAACCCAGAAAAAGCGCCAAAACGCACGGCAAAAACAGGATCACAGCAGACTACAGGGACTACGGCACCAAAGCCGAGTACACAGCCTGCGAGTAATAGACAAGCCAATCAAGGGTGGGGACATAACCAAGACCGATACCGTCAAATGCAAGTTCGCATGATGCAACTTATGACGGACCTCAATCAGTTGTCAGTGGATGAACCTCCATCAACCGAACTGACAACTACTGCGAGTATCGTTGAAATCGAAGAACCTGTCGCTTCGACATCGAAGGTCACCTTGGACGATGAAACCAAGGCAAGGTTAGGCGCCAGTAAAAAACCCTGGCAGTCATATTACGAAAACAACGAGGATTTTCCAAACGCGCTCTAGAAGTCTGCGCTCTAGAGTTAGAGGATAATGATACCCATGTCGAACCAGCCCAAGAGGCTTGTACAGTAGCAAAGGATTCTTGTGTATTTAATACTGCTCAAAACAAGAAAAGGTCATTTAAAATTCCTATTGCACTGTGGGTATACGGCAAAAAGACGCAGACCAATGCTCTAGTAGATTCAGGGGCCACAACAAATTTCATCGACAAACGTTTTGTTGAAACCAATCATCTGGTCTTATATAAGCTGGCAATCCCATTTAAAGTAATAAATGCGGACGGAACTCCTAATACGAATGGGCAAATAACACATTATGTTAAAGCCTACATGGTTGTAGGAGACCATGGAACCACTCACTACTTTTACGTCACTGACCTCGGCGATAAAGAAGTGATTATAGGTTACACGTATCTTGTCGCTCATAATCCCGATATAGATTGGGAAAGAGGACAATGGAAGTTCATCAGATGCCCTGAAACTTGTACCAACAAGAGAGTAAAACAAAGAGATCGCGAACTCGACATAAGCGAGTCTACACCGGAACTACCGTGGGAAGCAGACCTGGACATTTTAGGAGCTGCAGACACGGACGTACCACATATAAACTGGGTTGATTTAGAATCACCAGTTGACTGTTCACAAGCAGAAGTTATTGCGAATCTCCTAGACAAACCATTTGTCGGAGAATCTGAAGAAGATTTGGACGACGAAGACACAAAGGACTGGAAATCTAAAGTTCCAGACTGGGTACACGATTATGATGCCGTCTTCAGTAAGGTCAAATCAGAGCGCATGCCGGAACGTAAAGAATACGATCATGCAATTGATTTAGTGAAGGATGCTCCCCTTCCTAAACCGGCTAAAATCTATCCCTTGTCCGTCAACGAGCAAAGCTCTTTGGATGTTTGGATCCAAGAGGAACTCCGTAAAGGATACATAGTACCATCAAAAAGTCCTATTGCAGCACCTTTCTTCTTTGTAAAGAAACACGATGGATCGTTGCGACCAGTAATGGATTACCAAAATCTGAATGCAGTCACAGTCAGAAATCGTTATCCTATTCCACGTATATCAGACCTAATAGATGCCTTGAGTAATGCTTCGATATTTACGAAGATTGACTTAAGATGGGGTTATAATAACGTGCGAATAAAGAAAGGAGACGAATGGAAGACAGCGTTCATTACAAAGCATGGACTCTTTGAGGCCACAGTAATGTACTTCGGATTTTCCAATGCACCAGCAACTTTCCAATCCATGATGAATAATATCTTAGGCGATTTGATTCGTCAAGGAAAAGTCATGGTATATCTCGACAACATTTTCATATTTGGGAATGATAAAGACAAACATCGACGTCTCGTACGAGAAGTGTTGCGACGACTACAAGAGAATGATCTGTTCGCTAAAGCAGAGAAATGCTTCTTTGAACGCGAATCCATTGATTATCTTGGAATGATCATATCTCACAAGTCAGTAAAGATGGACCCTAAAAAAGTATCTGGAGTTCTCGAGTGGCCACAACCAAAGAAAGTCAAACAAGTACAGGCTTTCCTAGGTTTTGCAAACTTTTATCGCAGGTTTATCAAAGACTTTGCGAAAATTAGCAAGCCGCTTACGGAACTTACCAAGAAAGATCAACCATGGGTTTGGAGTGAAGCACAAGAAACAGCTTTTCAAACATTGAAACAAGCGTTTACTTCAGCTCCAATTCTAAGAATTCCGGATGACAAAAATCCTTTCAAATTATCTACCGATGCTAGCGACTTCACTATCGGGTCAGTTTTATCTCAACTAGACCCTGAAGACAAACTCTGGCATCCAGTCGCATTCCACTCTAAGTCACTCAGTGTTCACGAAAGGAACTATGAGATTTACGACAAAGAACTATTAGCCATAATAAGGGCATTAGAGGAATATCGACACTATTTAGAAGGACATCCGGAACAATTCGAAGTTTGAACGGATCATGCAAATCTGCAATACTTCCGTACCGCCCAAAAGTTGACAAGACGGCAAGCGTGATGGGCTCTATATCTCACGCGATTTAACTATAAGCTACAACATAAACCAGGCAAAACAATGCAGGCCGAAGACCCTCTGTCCAGGAGACCAGATCATGAGGAGGGGGTAAATCTAGATAATGAGGACAAAATTCTGCTTAAGCCAGAAGTTTTCGCCAACTTCATGCAGATTTGTGCACTAGATTACCTTCATGCTGGCCTAATAGACGATGATTCTATACTTAGGAAGGTCAAGGAAGCACTGTTAGACGACGAAATGACGAAAGACTATAAGCAATTACTGAAATCTGGACCAAGAGAGTTCGGTAAAGAATTGCAAGATTGGAATTTCGAAAATGGACTACTCCTTCATCGAGGAAAAATCTACATCCCAAAGTCTAAAGACGAAAGTCTAAGAAGACAAATAGTCCAAATGCATCACGATCATATATCGGCAGGACATCCTGGTTGATGGAAGACATACGAACTTGTGTCACGAAACTATTGGTGGCCAAGCATGTCTATATTCTGTAAAAATTATGTGTCAGGTTGTGAGACATGTCAACAAATGAAGAACCGTCCACAACAACCATTCGGTCCATTACAACCAAACCCCATACCAGCGGGACCTTGGGAAATAATCACAGTCGATCTTATCACTCAGTTACCAGAGTCTGAAGGTTACAATGCGATATGCGTTGTAGTAGACAGATTAACCAAGAGAGCACACTTTTATGCAATCACGAATGAGTTTTCAGCAAAGGATTTAGCAGAAGTCTTATATGACAGGGTTTACCCGTTACACGGTCTACCTCTGCAAATCATATCTGATAGAGGAACTCAATTTGCCGCGGAACTTTTCCGTGAATGGTGCAAAAGACTTGGAATTAAATCATCAATGTTTACTGCGTATCACCCTCAAACAGATGGTCAAACCGAAAGAGTAAATCAATCTCTGGAACAATATCTGAGATGTTATGTGGATTTCAACTTAGACAACTGGTCACAGTTGCTAAGCACAGCAGAGTTCGCATATAACAACCTAGCTCACGAAGGAACGAAACATTCGCCCTTCTATTTAGAGTATGGACGACACCCAAGGATGGGACCTACACTGGTCAAAGATTCAGGAAACGAAGACCTGAATGACATATTGCAGAAAAGACATGAGGCGCAAGAGCAAGCCAAAGCTGCGCTTTAATTAGCTGCTAAACGAATGAAGTGGTATTACGACCTACAAAAACAAGTCGTACCATTTAAAGTCGGCGATAAAGCTATGCTTGACATGCGAGATTACCGGACTACACAACGCGCGTTAACTCCACGCTATGCGGGACCGTTCGAAATTATAGAACAGATTACGCCTGTGACGTTTAAATTGAAAATGCCTAGTCAATACAGGGCAATTCATCCGGTTTTCCACGCAAGCAAACTAGTCACCTACACTGAACCCATGCCAGGACAAAAGAAATCGGCTCCAGCACCAATAATAAAAGGCGGTCACGAAGAATTTGAAGTTGAGAAAATACTCCAACATCGTGTTCGTAATCGTAAAACGTACTTTTTGGTGAAATGGAAGGGTGAAAGTGAACAAGACGCCACATGGGAACCAGCAGAACACCTGAAACATGCGAAACGAATAGTCAGTTCCTATTGGAACGACCCGTATGAAGCACGAATAATGGACACGCTGTCTATTCAGGAAGTGGCAGTCTATCAAAGAGACTCCACTCTGCTTGTCAAACTACAACCAGGGGCAAAATTGCCAACTCGAGGTTCAGAAGAAGCTGCAGGCTTAGACCTGTATGCCCTGAACAATGCCACAATACAACCACGTCAACGTCAACTCATACCAACTGGAATACAATTACAACTACCAGTAGGCACATATGGACGTATCGCACCACGAAGTGGCCTTTCAGTTAAAGGACTAGACATAGCAGCGGGCGTTATTGATAGAGACTACACTGGCGAGATACGAGTTTTACTCGTAAACAACAGCGACATCGCCTTTGAAGTAAAATCAAACGACCGTGTTGCACAGTTAATAGTCGAACGGATAGCCCAGGTCGATATTGAAGTAGTGGGTTTTATTGATGAAACCACTAGAGGAAACAAAGGATTTGGTTCAACGGGCAAATAACTCCTCTCCACGGAGCTCGAGTCTTAAGGCGGGGGTACTGTCACAAATTCGCCCCATACAAGCGCCTATTATATTCTTAGCGCTCATTATCGCGCTAAACACGATCACGTGACCTACACGGTCACATGCATATCACGAGACCTAGATCATCATATAGATATGATGGGATCAGTAGATAAGATAACCACAAGTCCAGAACTCGTTCTAGACTAGTCACATGTCATGACATCATGAGTGATGTCACCTGGTGGATAGCTTAGCCTAATGGAGATACTCCAACGGTCATTATCCCTCGTATTACGAAACATATTGGTAGTGTATTAGTAACGAGTCACGAGTAGTCACATGAGCACTTAGTAATGTAGAGTACCATAGGTCCTACGTAGTGTCAGGGGTCTTAGATTACTTGTATATAAGGAGCGTCGTCTGAGGCTTAAGACCTCAGACTCAACAACTTCGTTGATTCTTAGTATCTGCATCTCTCTCTACTTACACCCCTCGACTTCAAGTCCTACCCTTCAAGTCTATCAGTAAGGTGAGTATAGAAGTTGTGATACAGGCTTCTCAGGTTCTTGCACCGCAGCATGGCAGAGATGCTCTCAACTTTCCGCTGCGTCCTTCTCACCGACAAATATGTTGGCATATCTGCATGGGAGAGCTTCATGGTCGACTGTTTCAAGATCCTGGTTGAGACGTACAACCTCATCATCCTCCATCCACTCAAGAACCACTTCAACAGTGTGTAGCCCAAGTTACAATCGAGTCTGGTTGATCTGATGTCTCGCTACACTTTCCATGACTTTGCAGAAAGTGGGACCATGATACTTGGCCAAGCTATCTGTACATGGCAAAAGAAATCCTTTGTAGTTTTGCCTCTAACAGACCTTTGCTGTAGATTCATCGTGGAACATTGATGGGCTCACACTGTTGTGAGCACGTGCAACACTTCAGTATCTCCTGAATAGGTGCACTATCTGAATGGAAGACTTCCACATCTTTGATAGGCTCGTTTCGCTGACACTGGCAGACACCGCATGGACGCACAAGCTTCCTGCTGCAGAGGTGGACATGTTCTGGCAGCAGGTCATCAATGTTCTCGAGTACACAATGGAATTCTAGTGGCGGAACGGGGGATCATTCCGCAATCTCAACTGGCTCGCCAGCTTCGCAGACAAGAGCAGCAAGATGGCGCAGTATTTGTCCTCGACAAAACTGGACATCCTCATCCATATTCTCTATCCTTTCCTTACCTATCGCCGCCTGTTTGACAACATCTGCATTGACCTATACAGCGTTCTTTTCGAACTCTATATTCCTACTGATAAGTGAGTTATGCTTCATGTGCCGGGGCTGAACCAGGAGCTCATCCATAGGCAATCTCGCACGTATCTGGTGACCAACTTCCCTCTTATCAACGACTTGCGATGGTTTAACCTGTTCGTGTAGGCCGCAAATGAGTGGATCTTTAATATGTTACGTGTGGACAAGAGTGGATGGACGCTCTTACGTACCTAGGGGATGCTCGAGAAATTGTGCGGTGCCCTAAACTACGCCGCCAGGAGATCTTGGATAAACTGTGGCTGCGACAAAGAAGACTTTCTGTGGCCTGCCAGTATTCTTGCCACAACGTCACCAGCTTCAACACAGACCCAGACTGCAGGCCCACAAGACCCGAGACAGACAATGCACGATATCTCTGAGGATGACCAAGAGCTAACAGGCTGCTATCCCCTGTGCAAGAGACACTATCTGGCTTTGCTATCTGTCACCTCCCACGAGTCGAGCCATGGTAGGAGTGAGAAGGCCGAGAGCAAGTTGAGCCGCTCTCATTAGTGTCGCAGGCATCATTTGGCAGAGAAAATGACAGCGCAACATGATCATTTGGTGAAGCGTGCTCGCAGCGTGTTAGAGTTGTTCGAGACTTGCACCCGTGATACACTTTGCCTGCTGCTCTTAAAAATGGAGAAGTACCTGATCCCTGATACTGCGGTGAGTAATGCGATGAAGCGCGACATGTGAGACCTGCAGAATTATCTGGATGCTCGTGACAAAAATAAGGCTCAAGTTCTGCAAGCACAATTGAAGAAGATCAGTGATGAGAACACAGCTTGCATCTTTTGTTGTGTCCTAAATATTGTGCCTCCAAATGAAGAAGCAGCGAGACAAGAGAAAGATACAGCAGCTTGGCCTCGGACTTGAACACTAACTCAAGTCCTGATTGCTCCAGAGGAAGCGAAACGGCAAAATACTAAAGGTGAAGCGTGAGCTGCCCCGTTCACAACCAGTTACTCACCTACAATCTGCATATAGAGAAAGGCAAAAAATGTAGTGAAGAAGGTGTGCAGGTCACTTCATATGGTGGGCGCCGTAACTTAACTCTTAAGAAACC